GCAAAAGGGGGGTGCGGAGGAAACGTCGGCCGGGGGTAAGCGGTTCGCTGGATGCGCTCGTAGTCACATCGGACGGAAAACTCCGGGAATAAGGTTTGAGAATCGGTCGGCACGGTCGCTAGGATAGAAAACTCACCCTGCCTGCGGCGAGGGCTGCCGTGGTGTCGCGGCTTAGCCAGGTGGGGAGACAAAGGGCGACTAGGGCAGAAAAATAAATTCAAGTGGGTAAGAGCTGCACAAAGAGAGAGAGAGAGCGTGGTGTAGTAGCTCAGCTGGGCAGTAAGCTGGGCAGAGAGTATGGCGTGGCACAGTTCGACCTGTTGCGCAAATCTACCGGACCAGTAGCTCAAGGCTGATAGGCAGGAGCTGGGTAGAGAGCATGGTGGGGCGCAGGTTGGCCAGTTACTCAAGCCCATTGGACCAGTAGGTCAATGCTGGGCGAATTGAGTAGGGAGCATGGTGCGACGCAGTTTGACCAACTCTGCTCAAGCCCATTGGCCCATTGGGACCAGTGGCTCAAGGCGTATCAGGAGTGAGCAGGAAGCAGGATGACTGCTCAAGTGGGAGCATGCTAAGAGACGAGGGGGAAGGGATCACGGTTGCTTCTTACAACTTCAAGTTCTTCGATGGAGATTTTTTAGCCAAGATGACTAAACCGAAAGGGATACACAAGAGAGCTTGCTATTGGCCACAACCCCATCCTCTCATCTTCCCTTTGCCCCTCCCAACCATCGTATTTCGGGCAACCTTTACCTATTTGAGCAGGTATCCAACAAGTCGACTTTTTGGCCGCCTTTCAGATTGGAACCAGTATTACATGTATTGCATCCATCCCATGCTGAGCCCATCTCCTCCTGCAGGATATAATTGCCTACGATATTTCAGCCTAACCAATCAACACCAGGGCAGGTGCCCAAAAAGTCGACTCTTTGGCCACCTTCCCAATTGGCCGTGCGCGACATCTATTGCAGAACCATTCCATGATACTGACCCTGCCACGACCCGACCTTCCGCGTTGAACCCTTCTGCTTCCATCTCCCGGACTTTCACCGATGACGACTGGATAAATGCCTTCTGCAGAGGCAGGATGTGTGGCAGGTTGGATGGGTCGGCAAAGGTACAAGACCTGCAGATTGGGTTTTTAACATCTCTTTCCAGCTTGCTACTAACTAGCAGCTGTTTTGCGATATTTTGGGAATTGTTTCATTGGAACTCCTCTCGCCTGTACTAGGGCATATCTTGGGCGCTTCGTAATTTAAGCTTACTCGATCTAAAGGCCCACTATAGCTCTTGAACCTGAGAACACACCAGTGTTAACCAGAAGCGCCGATGGATCCAACCATTCTATTTCAAGCACCCAACCACCACCACGACGCATACTCAAAAAGTCGACTTTTTGGGTACCTCCCAGATTTACCGTCGGACGTCATCTCTTGCATCAACCCCGTGATGCTGGGC